TGAAAGATGACTAAGAATTTACCAGAATGTAGCACACAACCTGAAAGAGTGGATGTTCAGTAGATATTTTTAATTACATCAACCAATAAAAATTTTAACGGAATTTACAGATGAAACAACACGATGTTTGGCATTTGCTTAACAATAATTCATTACGAGGACAGGGAGTATGGGGAGGGATGGAGGTACAGATGAAACAAGACTACCCATGTGGACGATTGTTGCAGTCGGTGGTGGATTCATGCCATTTATTATATTATCCTATTTCCATATAGATTTGGAAATGCCCATAATAAAATGAAGGTAATGATCCATTTGTGCCCACTCACCCTCAGGATATGATGAAATAACTCAGCAAAGATTTACTGAACATCTGTGTGCTCCCCACACACACACACTGGGCATGACAGAGCCACCAGTGACCAGCAACACCCTGTCCCAGCGCTGCCAGCTCACAGACAAATCGGGAGGTGAAGCCAGGACTCATATATGGGCAGACGGCCAGCAGCGCCAGATATGGTTCAAGGGGCTCTGTGAGCTCAGAAATAGGAGGGACCCCAGCACAGGGGCGGAAGCAGCAGATACAGCTTAACACGCAGAACTGTTACGGGTGGTGGGAGTCTGCATGGAAAGCATCTCAGGTGGACAAAGCCTTAGAGGTGAGGAAGTGAGAGATGAAGGATGGGGAACACATGGGGAGCTCAAGAGCCCCTTAAGACAGGATGGAGGAGAGAGAATGGGGGCAGCATTTCTCCCATCTCAAACTAGGGATTTTTTAAGACTCCCCAGAAGACACAGGGAGGGGCACAGGACCACACTAGCTCCCCCATCCCTTCCCAATCTCAGTCCACACCCTCAGAGCACTGGCAGCCATCAAAGTGAGTGACAGCCGGCTAATCAGGGACACTTGGGTCTGAGGAGGGCCCCTTGTCTCTCTCTGAGGGCCCTCCAGCAAGGACAAGCCCAGGACAAAAGCAGAGCTCCCAGGCCGCCTGCCACAGCCCTCATTAGCATCACACAGAAAGCCTGCCAGCCAGGCTCCCAGCTGCAGCCGCAGCCCGGGCAACTGGACCGGCCGGCCCAGCTTTGGCCGAGCCCCAAGCAAGCAGATGTGGACCCTGAAGGGGCCTGTGGCCAACCCTGCCCCCTCCCCCAAAAAATAACCAAGCCAGGCAACCACCGCCCTGTCCCGCCTGCCCCATTGGCCCCACTTGCCCCACAGAACCTGCTGTGGCCACCAGAAAGCCAAAGGGAGGCGGAGAAGCATACATCCCTGAATGACGACTCGGGGTGACAGAATCCGAGACTTTGGCTTTTACCTGTCATTAGACCCCCCCAGAGTCGAATCTTTGCATCACAAACCAGGGCCAGGCAGCATGTCAGCCTCTGGCGTAGATGGCTGCTTTACTGCCAAATGACAGAACAGCAGCCTCCCGGACCTTGAGTAGTGGGGCATCGGAGCCATGGGGTCCCAGGCGGCCAGGGAGAGATTGCCTGGGGGCTTGGGGCTGGGAGCGCCAGTGTCTGTCTGGATCCCACCTATTCAGGGGTATTGGAGAGGGGGCGTGGGAGTGATGGGGCAGCCTGATAGCTCATTGAACGTGCAGCTCCCGGGTGGGTTGCTGGAGAGAGGGGCGGAGCACAGAGAGAAGGGACCAGCCTGTGTGGGAACGGCCAGAGGGCAGAAGGCCCAGCCCCCCGAGATCCCGCAGAGCCTGGGACCCAGGAGCACCACGGGTCCCAGGCTGCGGAGGGTGAGCTGGGAAGGGCTGGGGACCCTGGGCTCCCGAGTCTCAGCTGGCTGAGCTGTCACCAACACAGGGTGGGAAAGGGTGTTCCACCCTGGTCCCGTAGCTCCACTGGGTCTCAGAAATGCAGGGGTCTTGTGGGGGCTTAATTATGGGATGGCAAGGGGGTGAGGGCCAGGGGGACAGAGGGGATGTTATCTTCAGATCACCATCTGCATAACTGAGACGAGTCTGGAGAGACTGTCTCCTCCGGATCAGGGAACTCACAAAATAACCTATAAGCAAAGCTCCCCTCCCACGCTGCGTGGGGGGAGCCCTCCTCTGATCTCCCCTCAGAGGAGCCCCGCCCTGCTGGCCTGGGATGGGCGTGCCTCTCCGCAGGGATGCAGCAGTCTGCACTGGGGTGAGGAATTGGCTCCCCAGACAGCCTGAGTCAGGACCCCAGCTGGGCTTCTCTCAGCCACTTGATCTTGGGCAAATCACTTAACCTCTCTGACCTCAGTGCTTCCTCATCTGTATAATGGGGGCGACTGTCTGCTCGCACGGAGTCCTTGGGAGGAGTCGGTGAGACAGCAGAGCTGAAAGCTCAGCCCTTCGGTACAGACGGCAGACACTGAGAGCACAGGTGGGGGTGACCTGTGGGGACCCACAGCCTCTTCCCAGCTTCCCTGGTCGGGGGACGTGGGGGCCTAGGCCTTGCACTATCAAAACCTGCTCTTCCCTGGGGGGCTGGCATTTTAACAGGTCAAAATTTGAATTGAATTTAAGTCAATTCAAATTTTAAAATAATCAAAAACTCAGTTACTCAGTTGCACCAGCCACATTTCAAGTGCTCAATAGCTACAGGTAGCTAGCAGCTACCACATTGGACAGGGCAGGTAGAGAACATGTCCAACATCACAGAAAGTTCTCTCGGACAGCTCTGGCCTACAGGGGTGAGAGAGCCCCAGGGTGGGGATCAGGAGATCTGAGTCTAGCTCCGGCTTAGCTCCTAGTTCATGCTGAGTTTAGACAAGTCCCTTTGCTTCTCAGAGCCTCAGTTTTCCCATCTGTGCTTACCCCACACTCTGTGCAAGGCAGAGTGCAGACAGGGCTCTACAAGGACCTCTGGATTGACTCTACTACCCCACTGCCCGGGATCAGGTCCATGGGGAAACAGGTGGGCAGCTGGAGCTCTGCTGATGTGGAGGCTGAGGGACCCACCTGCCCACCCCCAGGCTCTAGCAGCTCCAGAAAAATACCCTGGTGTCCAAAGTTGCCTCCCTGCATCTCAGTGTCTCAGTCAATTGTCTCCAGGCCGATAAAGCCAGAGCCAGGAGGGCAGGCCCTGCAGAGGGCCAGTGTGTATCTCTCCATGGCCTTACACAGGCCCCAGTGAAGCCTGAAGATCCCGAACTCATCCCTCCGGAACCAGAGAGGCCCAGGCAGCGCCTTGGGGAGGAGGCAGCGGCAGGGGCTGGTCCAAAGGGGAGGGGAGACGCGAAGAGTCAGAAATGCGCTATCAGCACTGCGTCCTCCCCACTTCCTCTCTTCGAACGGATCACATCCTGTTATTGTGTGGACAGAGAAGGCCAGGAGCTGGGGAGGGAGGCAGGGCTCGGACCATATAGGCTGGGGGAGGAGAGAAAGGAGGAGCCAGAGGGAATGTCTCGGTGAGCGGGAGGGCGTGTGTCACCGTGTACCTCCAGTCGCGACCCCAGGTGGCCTGGGCAGGGGTGGGCACCTCAAGGAGTGGGAGCAGCTTCTATCACAGCACAGCCTGTGCCTCCCTGCAGAGCCTCCTGGAAGAAGGGAAAGGGCGCCTCCTCCAGGAAGCCTTCCCCAGCCTCCTCCTCAGGCTCCTTCACTTTAGCGCACATTTCCTAGGCCTCCACCACCAGGGCTGGGCTCCCACGGTCACCGGGCCTCTCTCTCACAGCACTTGCCTCCAGGGTGGTAATGCTCTGTATCTGCTCCCCTCTGCCCCACTTCCACCCAGCCTGCCAGGCCCTTGGACAGGGACAGCAAAGATCCCTTACTGGCTCCCCAGCATTGCCCAGCATGGGCAGGTCCAGAGGAATTCCTGCTGCGTGAATGATGAGTGTTCCCACTTCCCCCTCTGCCCTCTTCTCTCCTCTGCCATTCCCAAGTGCAGTCCTATCCCAACCCCATTTCCAGCAATAATAATGGTTTTCTCTATAAAACACAAGCGCTTTACATACACTGTTCTGAAATCTTGTGACAGCCCTGTAAGATGGGTGTTAATACCTTCACTTAACAGATGAGGAAACTGAAGCTCAGAGATGTTAAGTGATTTACCCAAAGTCACAGAGCAGGTACACTAAGTGGCAGTCCTGGAACTTAGACCCAGGTAGATCTGACCCCAAAGGCCAGGCTCTTTCTGTGGCCCAACTGCCTTTCCTGCTCTGTCCCACTTGTGTCCTGGCCTCTCCCTCCCTGAGCTGACACCACACCGACTGTCCTCACTGAGCACGAGCCTGTCCTCAAGCCGAGCCTGTTGCTGGAGGCAAGCTCTCCAGGGTCTACCCCGACTGCTCCTGGTCCTGGGCAAGCTGCTGCATGAGCTGAGCTGCTATCTCCCCCACAGCCCAGGCCTTTCTGCTCTAAGAACACCAACCACATACGGTCTGTTTCTTCTTCTTCTCCTGGGGGCACTGAACACTGGCCCTGGCTTCAGACCTGGATTCAAGTCCTGAGTAATCTTCGTGAGACCCCATCCCCTCGTCAGGCCTCATTTCCTCCCTGGACAGCAAAGAGGACGCCTCGGGCAAGCTCGACTTACTCCTTTCCTGACTCTGACTCAGGATGGCTGAGCCTCTACTGCCGGACACTGTGCCCACCACCGTGGCCTGTCCCCAGAGGCTGCTCAGAGGTCTTGTCTGGCTCCCATGGGCCTCAGGGCTGGAGGGTCTCCCGGCTCCTGGGGAACAGTTAGTTGTTTTGCAGTGGGTGGCATGAGGACGCAGGGCTGCTGTAAGCGGACCAGATAAACAGCCTCCAGATCCTCATCTGCCCTGCCTCCTCCCACCCAGAGCCAGAACGATGACCGGGCTGCTGGGGCCCAGCCCAAGAAAGCTCATACCCCGCCTCCCCACCAACAAAAGCAGCCCAAGGCCCTCTGCCAGCCCAAGGGGCCAGCTGTCCACCTGCCCCGACCAGCAGGGATGGTGGTTTCGGCAGGACCATTAGAGCAGGCGTCTTTGTAAGAGTGACCCTGCCCCTCGCCAGCCACCCCCTCCACCCTTTTATTCCATGCTGACCTGGAAACTGAGCTAGAAGATTCCATACAGGGGAACCTCCCATTCAGCAAATGTTGAAAGGGAACTGTGCCAGGGCTGACGGAGGGCGCTGGAGGCGAAGAGACAAGTCGGGGGCAGGGAGGGGGGGTCTCTCCCCTGAGGAGCTCATGTTTAGTGGGGCAGCAGACAGGTGGATGCACGTCAGACAGCACAGAGCGAAGGAGGGCCTGTGGGGTACCAGGGAGGCAGCTGACCCGGTAGAGTAAGGACAGTCTCCTGGACGCTGAGGACAAGTCAACCAGATGAAAGGAGGGTGTGAGCAGAGGCTGGAGAGCAACAAAAAGTGCAAAAGTGGTACTGTTAAAGAAAAACTGCAGCCCAGAACAGAAAGGATAGCACAAGAGGAGCACAGGGGTGAAGGGAAGAGTGGGAAGAAGGAAGGCTGGGGAACTAGGCAGGCCTTTTGGGCAGGGTCCCAGGGTGCGGTCCCCTCCCTGTGGTGGACACAGGCCGTCAAGGGAGGCAGGAGGCCTGGGCCTGCCCTGCCTGCCACTGCTGTCACTGTTGATGGGACGTGTGGCCCTTGGAAGGCTCCTTTCCTCTGTGGGCCTCAGTGCCTCCATCTGGAGTCAAAGACACCAAGCCAGACCATCCCCAGGGCCTGGCCAGCCTGGGACGTCGATAGCCTCAGTCTCTGCCTGCTGGCCACAGAGCTGATGGGCTCTTCCTGACCTCTCTGCACGTGGACTGCCTCGTCCTCTCCTGGGGAAGGTCCTTCTGGAAATGGGTGCTTCTCCCTTCCCGTTCTTCCGTCCAGGACAGTCAGTCTGCTGCCTCCACCCCTCCTGTGACGCTGCTCTCTCCACAGTCATCACCAGCCTCCGTGTTGCCAAATCCAGTCAAGACTGTCAGGCCCTGTCTTGCCCCCTCAGCTGCGCCGGGCTTGGCGAACCATCTCCTCGACCCCAAACACCCTTTCGCCTGCTGTCTCCAGCTGTTCACCTACCTCTCTGACTGCTGTCTCAGCCTCTCTCTCTCTCCCTCGTCCCTTCATCATGCTGCTCCTCAGGCCTGCACCACCACCAAGGGCGCTCCCACTGGTATCCCCACCACAGGACTCAGTCTCACCGTCCTATCTACCCAGTGACCTCTTTGCCCTGGGCCAGGGAGAGGCACACTTGGAGTCTCCAAAAGCGAGGACCTTCCCGAGAGGCCAGGACATGACCCCAAGCACGTGGTGCCTTTGCCCTCCTTCTGTGGCTGGAAGCTCCCTAGGACGGTGGCCACCAAGAGCAGCGCCTGGTGGGATGAGCAAGGCTCACCCACGGGAGCCAGAGACCCTGTGGGCCCTTGACTTCTCTTCTTCGCACATCTTTTTTCCTGAACACTCATCACCTTCTAGCTTACTGTATATTCACTATGTCAACCCTACAATCAACCTACTTATTACGGTTGTGTGTGTCTGTGTGTTTACTGTCTCCCTGCCAGAACTTAAGCAAGACCAGAACAGGGATCTTGGTTTTCTGCACTGCTGGGTCCCCAAGTCCTAGAACAATACCTGGTCTATCGTAGGGGCTCAATAAATGTTTGCTAAACAAAAGAAAGGAAGAAAGAAGAGGACTCCGTTGGAAATGCCTACCTGCCCTACTGAGGTCCCTGAAGACCCGAGAGGCCATATGCAGAGGCCTCCCCAGAACTCAGAGTCTGGCCTCTGAATGGCATTCCCATTCCTGAGCCTCCACTCACTGTTCCCAAAGCCTCGGCCTCCGCCCCTGAGCCCCACACGAGACCAGCACCCTCCAATCCTCAAGAGCCACTGAGTCATCCGTGAACCTGCGACCCTCCTCTGGCGAGACCTTAATCTGTCCAGAACCTACGAGAAAAGCACCTGCCCCAGCCATGGGAGCCAAACCCCACACACAGAGGGGACCACCCGCGGGGTGGCCCTGAGCTGAAAGCGTGGGTGCACAATGCTGAGAAGAGGCCCCCCCCTGTGTGGCCTGGCAGAGGGGGAAGAATGGAGAGCCCGAGCGGGGAGCTGCAGGGCAGGGGGCCCTCACTCTGAGGACAGCTGAGTCCTGGAGGCCCCCCCATTTCAGGGAAGGCAGGTTCTTACACACCTTTCCTTTTAATGTCCCAACTCTCAGCTCTAGGGGTGCAACATGCCAGCACAGAGTCCAGGCCCCTTTGTAAAACTTTTATTTAGAAATCTTCCCAATATATCCTTATATATATACACACACATCATCACCACATGGATTTTGTTGCTAAAGAGTCACACGCCCACAGTGTTGGCCTCTGGGCTGGACAAAGGTCAAGGTACCTGGAGCGGTTACTCCTCTTCTGCAGAAAAATGCAGAGACCAACGCAATTCATCACGTACAGTACAACATTGACGGAAAGTGCTGGGCCCGCCCACAGGAACAACGCGCTATGTACACGGGCAGGGGGCAAGCCTCGGGCAGGGGGCCACGTACCATTGAAACCACAAGTACGACTAGACCCCCCAAAGGCGAAATAGCTGTCAGCTGACTACAGATGCTGTGCCCTTGGTTTTGTTTTTGGAAAAGGATAAAGGTTGTACCATCTTGTCATTTCCCACACTACAAATAAAAGAGAATGAATTTTTCTTAAAAGATGGGATTCCCTCCAGTCATTATAGTCATCTTTGTTCTCATTTTTTTTATATTTTTTCCCTTTTATACAGATGTTATTCTCGGAATGTGGACACTTCTTCATGGGTGAGGAGGACGCAGAGGACAGAGAAGGATATAGGGGAGAGGGGTTGTTAGAAATGAAAACAAAAATTATGGATCTTCTCTAGTTCTTACAAAGACCTGAAGCTTTGCCCGACCCTACCCCAGGCCCGTTTCAGGTGGTTTTCTTACATTTACATATTCTGCCCACATTCCCATCTCTCTTTTCCATTCTCACTCCTGTGCCTTGTCTTGGAATGAAACAGAAATGAGGTCAATCTGGAGAAATGAGGCCAATCTAGATAACTCAGACAAAAGTGGTTCAGAACCTAAATTACCCAAATGCTGTGCAGTCAGGCAGACTGGCCCACTGCCCAGGTCCGGGACTCAGGGTGGGAAACCCCACTGCAGGATCCATACTGAGGGCAACAGAGTTCTTTATGGTCTCCAAACGGTTCTACCTTTACAATTCCATTCAGCTCACACCACAGCCCAAGAGACAGGCCAAGCCAGGGTATTATGAGAAACCGACACTCAGAGAGAGAACCTATCCACGTCACACTGCAAGTCTGAGAGAAGAGGGAGCCCAAAGCTTGAGTTTCTGATTGAATGTGTGATCCATCTCCTAAAACCCATCCACCATCTACACTGAGGCCACCTGTCACTCCCAAGTCAACTGAATCCACCAGGAAGCAAACACAGCCTTAGGACCTAGGACAAGTGCTCCATCCTTAGACAGAGGGATTCCTCACAGGAGCTTCCCAGTATTGGAAATGAACCAACCCTAATGTTCATCAAAATAAGATTTTGGGGGGCTGAAGTGGGGCGGAGAGTCAGAGTGCTACAGGGCTAACCAGGTTGCTCCCATCCCCACGAACTGGGCCCAGAACTTAAAAAGAAGAGGAGGGGAGCAGGGATCATTCCGTCTGCCTACGGCCACTGCACTCAAGGTGCCATCACGGCCAGGGTAAGCCACTGTTTCTTCCACATCGCTAGGGACAGGGCAGTGCCATGGGGGTCATTCTCCCTCTGACCTCGAGGGCAGAGCCTGGTGGGAGACAGCTGGCGTGACTTGAGGGCAGTCCAACGGCATATACAGGACTCGTGTGCACTTGTCCCATGGGCTTGGGACGCAGGTCCCAGGCAGGCCGAGCCCCAGGAAAACCACGTCCCACCATCTGGATTGACACAGATCAACGAGGGGGCAGCAGTCCACTCCACAAAAGGCTTCTTCACTTTATAAAAGGACTTGTGGCAGTATGTCTTTAAAAGATGAAGGATAAGGACTCAATTTACAAAAGTTCCATGTACAACTTTTGGACGGGGGGGCACTCCTATTGCATTAAGCCAGCCTCCCATACACACACTTGAGGACCGAAAGCTGCACAATCGAGAGGTGTTTAAGATTCTGCACGTTTGGCTCTCAGCCAGGGACTGGTCTCTGATTGGGTTCCCCATGCCCTAGACGTGGGGATGGATCCTGGGCCATATCGGGACCTAAAGATCCCACCAAGAACTGAAATCAAGCAAAAATCCCAAATACCAGGACAGAGTCTGCACTCGCCAGAACACAGACCAGACCATCAGCAAACAGACATCCTGCGGCAGGGAGGTCCCTCCGAGCATCCAGGAGAAAGCCCTGATGGGGCAGCATCTCTCAGCACCACGCATCGGCACCCAGGCATCCGCTCACTGCACGGACCGCGGTGTGTAGCTGAGTCACAGGCAGGTAGCTCTGAGACACCACCAAGACTGCAGCCACATGCTCCAGAGAGCTCTGCCTCCACTTCTCCCCAGTCATTTTCCCCTTTCTCTGCCTTTGCACAAAGGCCAACAGGGCACACGCTCACAGCTGCCAACTCGGTCCCCACAGCCACGAGGATCAGGAAGGCAAGACTCCATGGGAAGAAAGCAGAGTTCTGATCCCCAGGGCAAGAAGGGCGGGCTCCTGACTTTTCTGACCCTCTCCGGCCCCTCTAGTCGAGAGCGGGCTGTGTGCTGGCCATCTTCTTCAACCAGGCCCTGAAGAAGGCACCTCAAAGCTCCAGACTGTCTGCAGCAGCCGGCAAGCCGAATGGACCAACACGGGCCTGGGTGAAGATGGGGCTCAAGAAGTGGGCAGCTATTGGGTACCTATATATTCGGACAGAGTGGCCACAAAAGCCACCCCAGCCAGCTTGGGAGGGGCTAACGGCAAGGCAGAGGCTGCTGGACGCCTCAGGTGAGAGCTGACAACATGGGTCTCAGCAAAGACGGGGCTCACAAGCTCCAGGCCAAAAGCAGCGCCACTCGAGCCTCTCGCATGAGAAGTCTTCGGGATTTGGGGAAGGGGGAAGACCGTGCCGTCTTCATAAAAAGTACCTACCACTTTGCTCCATTTTTCTGTTCTCCTACTGAGGCAGGAAACGGGAAAGTCAGCCCCAGGGGCAGTCAGGGCTGCCCAAAGTTGAGACATCAAGGAAAGCTCATCAGGTCCTTCGCCCTGCTTCAGAGCTGCCCAGTCCTCACCCCACCTGCCCTGAAGCCCTCCGTCCCAGCGGCCTGAGGGCACCCTCCCGGCTGGTCCTGGGTGGCCCCAGACCCATCACCGAGGGCCAGCTCCATCCGTGGCGGGCAACATGGTGGGATGGAGGCTGCGGGCCGTGTGCTTGGGTGCTGGCTCCTCCGTGTAGCTGTCCGGGCTGGCTGCCCCATCCAGGGAGCTGCCGCAGCTGGAGTTGGGGGAGAGCACATCCTGCAGGAGGTCGTCTGGAGGCGCACCACCCCCTCCTCCCCCACCCCCTCCGCCAGCCCCCACCACAGGGTCCTTGCCAGGCTTGGCCCGCTGGGTGCCCTCCTCCTCCTGGTCATTGAGCAGCTTGGCCAGGAAGTTGATGTACTTCATGGCCAGGCGGAGGATCTCATTCTTGCTGAGCTTCTTGTCTGGGGGATGCGTGGGGATCAGCTTGCGGAGCTCAGCGAAGGCCCCATTCACATTCTGCTGCCGCCATCGCTCCCGGCTGTTGGTGAAAATGCGCCGCACAACTTTGGTGTGGGGACCTGGAGGATAGGAGGACAAGGGTTAGGAGAATGGGTTGGGGATCCCCCAAGGCATCTTCTCCTGTGGGGAAGAAGAGAAACCATCCATTGGAAAACTTGGGAAACCTAGAATGCCTTCTTTCCTTTTACTCAGAAAACTCTTACTCATCCTTCAAAACCCAGCTCACCTGTTTCCTCCTCTCTGAGGACTCCCCTCAACCCCTCCAGAGAGATCGAACTAACCATGGCCCTCTATCCCTAGATCCCCATCAGCCTTGATCATTACTGTATGCTTTTATGCTTGTCTCCGTCTCCAGGCTGTGAGACACCTGAGGACATGGACCATACACCATTCATTCCTTCATTCGCTTGTGCCAAGACGCCATATAGCACTAGTTAGAAAGAGAAACGCTGGAGCCAGACTTTCTGGGTTCAATTCCTATTATTCACTAGATAGTGACTCTGGGCAAGTCACTTAAACTCTCTGTGCCTTAGCTTCGTCATCTGTAAAATGGAGATAATACTAGTAACTCAAGTCCTAATTGTCACGTGGGTCTAACAACTAACCGGTAAAGCACTTGTGACAACATCCACCACAGATTAAACATTCAGCAAATGTTAGCTAGTATTACCCAGTCCCCAGTCATTTACCAACAACCACGCACTGTGCTAAGCACTACGGAATAATGGTGACACAATACACAGGGTCCCTGCCTTCATGGAGTTTATGACAGCTGATGAACAAGCAGCAAACAACAGACAAACAGGAGGCTGAACGTAAGTGAAAGATGGACAGGAGCTATGACGTTTAGCTGAGGTGGTTGGGGACAGCCTTTTGGAGGAGGTGACATCTGTAAGGTAAGAACTTAAGGCTGAAGAAGAGTCAGCCAGGCACAGGAAGGGAAGCGGGAACAGCATGTGCAAAGGCCCTGAGCTGGAAAATGGCTGAAGCCAGCCTGGCTAGATGAGTATGGGTGAGATCAGAGCAGGCTGAGTCCAGATCCTATAGGGCCCCACAGGAAGGTGTAGGGATTTCACTCTGAGGGTGATGGAAAGCACAGAGCAGGCACTTAGTAAATGTCTGCTGACAGACAGAGCATGCTGGTAGGTGGGGGAGTTGAGGAGAGAGCACAGGCCAGAGGGAAAAGGACCTACCCTGCGGGCTCTCTCGCCCAGGAGAAGAGTGGAGACACAGCCATGCATAGGCACAGCCTGAGGCTCTAGGCAGGCATCCGAGGGCTGCCTCAGTCTCCCCATGTCTACAATGCACTGATTATAGACTGGACCAATATTCACGAGTGTCCGAGTACTAAGACTTGCAGAGTGTGGCAGACATCAGCATGCATGTATCGAGCACGTACGGTGTGCACTGCACCAAATGTCCAAGCCCGACCTGGGATTCCCCAAGCCGGGGAAGACAGAGGAGGGCCCTGATAGCACCCCTGAGCTCCCAGGCTGAGGGGGCCACTTCTCTCCCCAACACTGAGGCACAGAGCCGGGCTCCGGGCATCCCTGAGAAACCTCTGCGCACTGCAGGAACTGCTGCCCTGGGATATGGGTTTGCCCTCTTCCATTGCCCCTGGAGCCAGACCTCAGACTGTGGAAACGTGGCCAGGGGAGCGGAGGAGGGGAGGGGTCAAGGCACCACCTAAGACCTGCTGCTCATTTCACCGCTAAGGAGATTGAGGCCAAGATGGAGGCAGACCTGGCCTCCACCATCAGCCTGCGGCCCAGCTCATCCGTGCGGACACTTCCTGCCTGATGGTCTCTCTTTCTCTCTCCTACAGGCACGCGCGTGCATGCATATACACACACACATACACACACACAAACACACACGTTCTCCGGGGGAGAATCACTCATCCTCTGCCCACAGTACCAATGAAGCTGTCTTTCCAAACCTGAGCCGGCCCCAGCCCAGCTGACTCTTTGCCAAAGGCCAGACCCAGGCTGGAAAAACACAGCACACCTGCCGGGCAGTCCTACCCTGGGCGCCTCAGAGGAAGTAACTTGTTGTTCTCGGGCCTCCAGGCCAGATGGAGGGGAGTCTCTGAGCTGTGTCATCGGGAGGACCAGTCCCTGCTCTACGGCTCACACTGGCTGATCTTGAGAGAAGCTTCTAGGTGGGGACGGGGGCATTGTGACTGCTGTCACAGCTAGAGGTAGACAGACTCCAGAGGAGCAGCCACCCCCAGCCAGGCCCTGAAAACACTTTGCCCCACTGCACTCTTTCAACCATCGGTGAAGAAGCCATTATTCTCCCCACTTTACAAAAGAAGAAACCGAGGGCCAGAGAAGTTGAGCAACATGAATCCATGTCAGGTCCTGACTTTAGACCTTGCATGAGTTTCACTTCTATGGACTCTTTTTGGTTAAATCTCTGATTTCAAAGTCCCATGGACATATCCTGCACGCCCACACCCTCCCCTTCACCCCCATTTCTGTCTATTCCTCCCTGGCTCCTTCTCAGGGAACAAACTACCCACCTCTCTGCATCTTTCTCTTTCCTGAGTCTGTCCATCCCTCTGCGTCCTCTTGTCTCTCTCTGGCCAGGCAGTGAGTAAGTGCTCAGTAAACACTGGTAAGGTTGCTGGGTAATGGCTTCCTTACACCCCTGCCCTCCCTGGGCCCTCAACCCTTTGCCCCATCTCCTCCTTCCTCTCCTCTGCGCCCGATTTCCTTGCCTCCGCCCTTTGTAGAAAATGCCTCTTCCCTGGGGAACTTCAGAGCTGGTCCCGCCTGCTTGCTGTGTGGTATACCCACCTCCCCTGACTAGTGAACCCCTCTGGAACCTAGCAGCACTGACACCTCATCGCCCTTCCCTCCTGACACTACATGCCTGTGCCCCATGCTGGTTGGGTCTTTGGAGGTCTGGTCCTTGTCCCCACTCCAGCGCCCCCTCCTCAACAGAACACCAGGGAGGGCTTCCCTCCAGAACCTCCAGCTCAATACACACATCCCTTCCATTGGGTCCTTGCAAAGACCCCAATCTGGCTCCCAGCCCTCAGGTGCCCTTCCTACAGGAGCCCCAGTCCCCAGCCAGGCGGGAGCATTGCGAGCTCCGCGGATTTGCTCCAGTCCCTCAGCTCTGAAGAGCCTGCTCTCCTGCCCCCTGGTGCTGGGCCCCACCTACTACATCAGGTCAACCTCGGGAAGAGGGTTAGATCCTCCAAATTTCCCGTTCATCCAACCCCTTCCCCCAAGTTCAGGGCCAAAGACTACTCAGGCAGTTCACAACAGCAGTGCTGGGCCCTTCCAGGGGGAGCGAGGGGGCAGGGTAGAGTCTATGATGTCAGGAGGGGAGCCCAGAGGACGGGACAGGGAACAGAAGGGCCCCACAATGTAGGGACCTGGGACGAGACCCTTGGAAGTGAAATGCTCAGCAGGGAACAGACTCCAGACCCCAGAGAGGACTTGGGAGAAGGCACAGGGAATCCTGTGAGAAGGGTCAGTGCTTGGAGTCAGGGGCACCATGTGTTTCTGCCCTCCCACTAGATCCTTGCCGAGTGGAAGGGAGCCAGAGTGGGGACTACAAGGGACCCCAGAGGTTTGAGTTAAGCACCACCCTGTGTCCTCATCCTCATGCCCCCTCTTTCCAGGACTGTGAATGTGGACCCCCCCAACCCCCTTGCAGGGTGAAGGACTTTGACAGTTTGGGGTTCCAAGGGAGCCCACTCATCTACTTGAAACACCTACAGAGTAGTCCCCAGTGATCCCTCCTTCAGGGGGCTCGAACCAGCCTGAGGGGTGAGGACAAAGGTGGGGGCAGGGTAGACTCACCCTCAGTAATCTCCATCTCATAGGGGGAGGGTCTCCTCTTCACTCGGTTGTTGGTGGCGAACATAGGGAAGGCATCCGGCTCACCAAAGAACCCACTGCAGGAGGGAGCGCACAGGTCAGGATCGCGTGTAGAATGGAGGGGAGAAAGGGGCTGCTTAGCGTTCCTCCTGTGTGTTCTCGAGCCCCCCACCCCTGGAAGAACAAGGGCAACCCTGGTCCCTTCATATCTGAACTGGGGATAGAAGGAACATGAAACACACACACATACACATACACAGAATCAGAAGTGAACACATGGAGCAAACACAAACATGTACACACACCCCTCCCAGAGACACATACATTTCCCTCCTGATAGAGGCACACAATCCACAGACACCTCCATTCCCAAACAGGTGTTCACACTGGTGGACATGGCCTTCACACCTGGGGCAGCTTCAGCACCACAGAAGGGCACAGTGAAGTCCCCTCCCCAGGACTTCACCCCACCCTCACCCTGGCCCCACTGGGTGGTGGACAGACGACAGACAGGAAGCCCTGACTCACCCCCCACCCCCATCACCCTCACTGGGCTCTCCATAGCTTCCTTCTCAGGGTCTCCTGCAGACTCCCTGACTGTCCCACACTGTCCATTCCTGCCTCATCTTCCTGTACCCACCCCAACCAGGCCTCCATCTCAGCATCATCTTAGCGGCCTCACAGGGAAATGGACACCCTCACCAAGGGGAGTACAGGCCCTGGCCAGAGACCACAGACAGCCGGTTGTGGGGGGGGGGGGGACTGGGAGGGGACACCCACTCTCCAGTAGGGCCCTGGAGAAGAGGTTCAGAGGGCCGGGCCCTCTTGCAACCACTCTCAGATCCTTGTCTCTTACCTGTCGCAGAGAGCTGCAGCTTCCAGGAGAATTTCACAGCCAGCAGAGCACACTCAGACACTCTCACCTGGTGTCCACCCTCGCACGACTCCCTCCTGACCCCACCACCTCATAGCGCACTTTGCTTCTGCTCACACCCAGCCACATGCCTGGACTACCGCTCCTCCGCTTACACACACTCGTGCACGCTACACTGTCACAAGGCACCCCCAAATCTGCCCCCGCGCGTGCGCACACGCTCTCCCAGAGGGCTCCCTTCTCACTTGCCCATGGGAGCTCCAGCTTCTAGGCTTTTACGCCCACGGGTTTCAAACAACCCCTCCTCTGCAGCCGCACAGCCCCGCCGGGAGGACGGCAGTCGGCTCCCGAACTGCCGAAGGGGAGCCCCGGGGGCCGCGGCCGCTTGCCCACCCCGCCCTCCCGCCCGGCCCCTGACCTGCCGAGCGAGGCCAGCGGCTGGCTGAGGCTGTAGAGCAGCGCGCGGCCGGGGGCGGCGGGGGCCGCCAGCGCGGGAGGGCTCAGTTGCACCATGCGGCCGTCGCCGGGCAGCTCTGCGGGGGCCGAGGCGGGCGCGGGCGCCGGGGCGGGCCCCGGAGGTCTGCACAGCTCGGTGGTGGGCACCCGATGGCGCGCTTCGGCCGCTGCCGCGTCGCGGCCCTTTAAGTCCCGCGCGGCGCCGCCCCCACTGGCGGGGCCGCTGGCCGGGCCGCCGCGCGCGCCCAGCTCGATGACCGGGGGCTCCGCCGGGGCCGCGCGGCTCGTCTCCTTGGCGACGCCGTTCAGTAGGACCAGGTGCGGGGGGGCCATGCGGGGCTCGGCCGCGTCCCGTCCCTCTAGCGGGGGGTCACTGTGTGCCGCCTCGCTGGGCGGCCGCTCCGTCATCCTGCGGGCAAACAGACAGACAGGCTGACGCTCGCTCTGACCACCGCCCCCAGCCCACCGACGGGGGCGGGGTAAGGGGTGAAGGGCAGAGAGCGAAACTCACGCACCGAGACGTGGGCAGATGAGGACAAACTTAGCGCCACGTGGACACACACCGGCCGGGGCCGTCGGGGCCTGAAGGCCTGGTGGTGCTGGAGGGGGAGGGAAATGGGTCTCTAGTTTGGGCGAAGAGGGGAGGGTGCCTGGAGACAGAAAGATGGAGGGCCGAAAGGACAGAGATGGAAAAAGAAGACGCAGACATTGGAAGAAAAGGAATACAGCCAGCGAAAGAAAAATAGAAGGGAAAAAAGGAGGAAGGAAACGTAGAAAGAGGCAGAAAGAAAGATCACCCCGTCCCCCTTCTCAGGCCGCAAGGGAAGAGGAGGGAACAAACCCCCGAGCGTGTTCTTCCCGCCCCTCTTTCGGTTTTGGCGGGGAGTCTGTCGTGGGAGGTGGGGTGTTTTTCCAGCCTCCCCTGCCTCTCAGCAACACCCGCCCCCAGCCTAGCGCCACACACGCACCCAGAAACATGGTGGGGTGCAAGCAGGCAATTTAGGGAATGGAGGCTTCAGGGTTTGGGGTCCACTCTGCCACAGCAGGCAGAGAATTATCAGAGGAACCTGCATTCCCTTTCAACACACATTCACCCCTGCGGGTTGGGGGCGGGGAGGGGGTGTCTGTCTACACTAAGCAAATCCACGTGTATTCTGTGCAGCGGCTGAAAAGCCCAGCAGACCCCGTACTCCCAACGGGGCTGAGAAGAGACATCAGGAAGGGGAGAAGATGACCGCAGCCCTAGCTCCCTGCACACTGCAACGCCTCCTGCTCAGCTGGACTCAGAAGTGAGGTGGGGTCTGGAAGGGAGGCCTGGCAGAGGTGGTATGGAGCCTGGGCATTCAAAGGGTGCCCCTGAGACCACTGGGGTCTGGGCTCCCATGCACAAGTTGGAAGGGGTGTCACGGAGGCCCTTGAACTCTTCCGCACTCTGCATCCCCCTCTCCCGCCTCCTGTTGTCCTCTGGGAAATGGGAGGAATAACTCATCTGTGCATTTAAAAGCACAGCGCAAATGCGCAAGGAAACGTTATCACTGATGATGAGACTGGGCTGGTGAGGGGACCGCCTTGCCCAAGACTACACGTGCCTATGTGCCGCCACATCTCTTATCTCGCTCTGTCCGCACTACTCTCCCATATACACCGCGGAGCCAAGGACGCCGCTCCTTCTCTCCTCCACAACCACACTCCAGGGTGACCGCAAAGGCTCTACTTCCCACTCGTGCTTCCTGGGGTTCTTCCCTCACCCCGCCTCCACGCCAATGGAGCCAGGCCTCCATAAGAATTAAAACAGAAAAACCATGCACAAGACTCTGCATCCAGAGTGTGGGGATGCTTGTGAGTTGTTTTAATAAAAAAACAAAAATAGAATCAACTCGACAGGCTTCATAAAATGTTCAAAATAAGGTTCCTGCTCTCAGAATTATATAATTGGGGTATTTTATAGCAGAAAATAAATACACAAAAATCCAATTTGGCCCCAAGCTGAGTCCATGTAATTACTCACGGCAGCCATTGAGCTCCCATTCTGCCACTGCACCACTCTGGACTGGAGTCGGCCTGGGAACCATCCTCCCACCCCAGAAGAGAGACCAGATCTTCTGAACCCTCCTCCGGAGCTTAGCTCAATTGCCACTAGACATACAGGCAATGGAGAACCGTTATCCAGACTGTGCTTCTGCCTTGGGTCTGCGAGCCCTAGGGGCCCAGCCGGAAACAACAAAATTCCCCAAGACCTAGTGTACAGAGCTGCAAAGGCAGTGGGTCCACAAGAGTTTGCAATTATGGTAGAAACAATAGATCTGTATCCATAGAATGGGACCAACACAGTGCCGCCACTAGAAGTGCACCAGAGATCTACCAGTCGGTTGGCCTGGCTCCCCTGCAGTGGTGAAATGCACCAGAAATATACCATCCTGTGGCAAAATATACAAAGCCCCAAGGTGCTGGCTCCCTACCTTACTGTCCCCATGCACCGTTGGGCGCCCAGTGACACGTGCTTCAGCCCCAGCTTCTAGCCAAGTGACAAACAGTGCGCACTGCAATCACCAGACTGAGCTCAAGCCCTCTTTATAACACATTTATACCCTCGGATTAATTCTGAGGCTCCGTGTAGGAGTGGATCCCCAGGGGGCAAGCGGAGCACTTCTTCCAGATGATTTGACCCTGGCCCCAAATGCCCTTCCAGAGCCTATCTATATCTCTGAGGCTCCCTGTGAGAAGCCTATGATTGGTCCCCAGGGTCCGTGGCAGACCTCTCCCCGCCCCTCCCGGGACCTCAGGAAAACCCGGCAGGCTCCTCTGCAAGCAGGATCACTCAGGCCAGACAGGCGAGCGTGCTCCGGAGGGGACACCGGAGGACTCACAAGCATGGTCGGTTGTTGGCAACTAAACTCCATCACTAAGCTTCAGTTAAGATTACTGAAAGGCAAGCCTGAGTGATTTTTGTTTGTTTTTATTTGGGGAAGATGAAGGATCGGGGCGAAGGTTTCGATCTGAGTCACACTACAGTATTCGACCACTACAACTCCTCTGTCTTTGCGCGGCCAAGACCCAGCTCGCAGCCCCCCAAAGCGGATCTTCATCTCCTGTTGCCTCACCGCCACACGTTTCCATGTGTGCCTGAACAAGACGGGGATCCCCGGAGCTCCTGGGGAGCAGGCGCCGGGTCTGGGCAGCTCCCAGTTCCCGGCAGGAAGAATTTCTTATATGAAAATAGCCTCTGCGGTGCCTCCTCTCCCTTATACTGCACCCGTGCTCGCTCCCACGACCCCCTGGGGGAGCCCCAAGCCCTCAAGAGAACCAAAATCGCCCGTGAACAGAAACTCTGTCCCCGCCGCTGCGGGAGTGGAGGGGTGTCCAGCGCGGCCCCGCCCTAGGCCTTAGGCTCCGGTCAGGCCCACCCGAGTTAGGACCGCGCTCGCCTTGATGGCTGCGGCCTTCTTCCTGCCGGAGCCCCGAGCCCCAGGCGCGCGCTGCCTGCACCACCCGGCTAGCTGCCCCAAAGTTATGAGCCTTGTGAAACGTCCACAGAACCAGGACCAATGGGAGTGGCATGGAGGACTAAGTCCAACTAGCTATTTTTACCCGGGGTCGAAAAAGGAAAGGGCCCTGCTGGAAGCCACAGAGGCACAGAGGCCACAGGCAGCGGCAGGCACAGTCAGATCCCGGATTCCCAGCTCTGGGTTTGTCCTCCCCTCCCCCCCAATCTGAGACTGGACTGTCCTCTGTCCTGAGCCTCCCCCACCCCAGGCCGGAACCCAAGGCCTTCCTGGACACTGGTGCCACCGATCTCGTTCCCCAAAAACTCACCTGGGGCATATTTAGAGAGACCGGTCCCTCTGAATAGGATCTCACTCCTCCGCCGGAGAGAGGCGGGAGCCGAGGTCCAGCCTGTGAACGAGGGTCTTTCCTTTCCCCCTCTCTCGCTGGGAGACCAGCAGTTAGGCCGCGGTGTGGTCCTGGGCGGTCTGCCGCGCCCAGAGTGCGTTTCCAGGAAAGATGGGGGTGGAGAGAAAGAGGGAGGGCGAGAGGGAGGGAGAGAGAAATGGGGGTCAATGGCTGAGAATTACCTCACGTCCTCGCCAACCGGCCCAGGGAATCGCGCGCAGCTTTCCTCCCCCAACCTGCAGGTGTTTGAAGCCTCCCCCACCCCCATAAAAAAGAACCCTACACCTGACCAATCAGGACTAACTATTTAATCCAACAACAACAACCCCGCCGCAGACCGCCCGGAACATTTTGGACCCTCCAACCGGGATGTCTAGTTCAGTGTGGCCGAGTTTGTTTTCTAAGCACTGCCGTGTCTACGCGGTTGGCTCAGGAACCCGGGTCAGGCGGGAGCTGCGGCTACAGTGCGGAGTCGTCCGCAGCCTGGCATGGGTGTCCGGGTGGCAGAGGGGTGGGGATAGATGTGTATCGGAAAGGGGGAATCAGCTCTCAGACCGTGGTCGGTGGGACTGAACCTCCGAGGCCTCCATTCTCTCCATGTCCCCCACCTGCCCACCTCCAGCCCAAAGTGAAACCAGAGCCCAGTTCCAAAGGCTCCTTTCCCGCAGGAATGGAGTCGGAAGGGTGCGAACCGAGAGGATGGGGAGGAGGGGGCGGGATATCTGATCTATCCGGGTCCCTTCTTTTCTTCCTACTGATGAAGAAAAAGAAAAAAGAAAGAACCCCGCGCCGGCCCCTCAACCATTCCTACGCAACGATTTTCGATTTTTCGGATTTTCGATTTTTCAGCGTTCGGACCGGCAGAGGAGGGGAGAATTCTAACAATTCCTTACAGCAGTAAACAAGGCAAAGCGCCGGGTGGGGGGGGGGGGGGGGGGGGGGGGGGGGGGGGGGGGGGTGTGCAAATCCAACGCTGCTTCCCAGGGTGTAGCGGTAGCGAGATTTAGGTCGCTTTTTTCCCCCTCCGGAGGGTTTTGTTCAATGTGTTTTCCCTAAATCGTCCAGTTTATGATCACACATGGAAGTCTTGGATTAAATGCAAAGACCTCCTTATTTTTGCCCCAGCTTTGGTGGAAATACAAGAATAATTCTTCCCTGCGCTTTGAACCCAACGCGGGAGATTTTCTTTCTCCTCTTCTGATCCAAATAGGGGGGCGCGGTGGGAGGAAGGGGGAATCCACTCCCTCCTGGTGTCCGAGGTCGGGGTTAATTTGTGCTTTATGACCGACTCTCTGTGTCTGTCCCTCTCTCCATCTTCTCTCCCTAACCCCAAATGCAGCAACTTACAAAACAGAGCTGGTGGGGGAAACCGCGCTGCTTTGTTATCGCTCCAAAGAAGCTGAAAGGGACAAGCCGCTTGCTTCTGGACGATTATTTTAATTAAAATACGATGATGATAATGATGTAGATGATGACATTAGCAACTACAATAACTGGCAAAACAAAATCCTTTCTTCTGGAGCTAGGGCGGCACTGACGGTCCCTCCATGGAGCCCGGCCCCAGCCACCAATGCGACGGGTACCCGACCCACGCGGGAATGTCGCTCACCCGGGGAAGGGGTGGAAAACTGTTTCTTGGAGATGATCCCGAGGGTCCCCACCCGAGGCGCGAGGCCTGGAGAATGCGCCCATTGTCTTTTCCGGGCCTCGCCCACAGACCCCGAGGCCGCACCGCGAAACTGACCAGAAATGGACGAAGCCTGAGTGCGTCGGGAACGAAGCCGGTGGCTACCCGCTTGAAGGCGCGGGCCTCGGCGGGCGCTGCTCAGCTTCAAGCCTGAAGAACCTCCCACTCACTGACAAACCCCTCAAACACCGAGGCACAGACTGGCCTCCGGACAGAGCGGCCGCCGACCGGCCTCCGTCTGCCCCTCCAAGCCGACACTGGCTTCCGAATATATCATAATATGGAATAAAACGTGAAATCCTTCTCCCCGCCCCCATGCCGCCGCCTCGACTTGCGCCTCCATCTCTTGCTCGCCCTCCCCCTCCACCCCCCAGCGATGTGCAAACGCGATTCTCATGGACACAAGCACACAGGCACACAACCCAGCAAGACGGGACCACACGCCGTCCAGCCCCGAGAAGGGAAGCCGAGTAAAGAGAACCCAACATTGCCCCACAAGCGGACCTGGTCAGGCTCGCGCATTGTCCGACACGACACAACGAAATCAGTCAAGCGAAATCGTTCATGAACACATAACCCAGCGGAGTCAGGATCGCACACGCCCGACACAACAAAGTCACCCAAACCCAATCGCAAAGGCCACACAACCCAACACACAGAACCAGACACATGTCGAGAAGGCGAACGAGCACAACTATACACAACGATTAAAACGCAGATGGGCCTTGATGAGTCCAAATCTACACGCCCAAACAGCACAGACACCATCACACTCGGACACACAACCAATCGCCAAGAAAACCACACTTGGAAGAAGTCAACATTGCCCACAGCTCATACACTCACTCTCACAACCCCACCGCATGCACACAACCACGAAGAAGAAATGAAAACCAACCACCGCCTCGCGCATTTCTGTATATTGCGTAAGGAAAAAGGGGAAGGAAGGAAGAGAGTCTCCGAGGCGGGAGGGGCGGCGGCGAGCGCGAGGGCGTCCGTGGAAAATGCCCCCCGACGAAAGAAACCGAGGGAAAAGCAGCGAAGACCTCTTCTGCGAGTGGGGGAAAAGGAGGGAGGAAATTGATAGGGAATTCCGTGGGAGGCCGCGGGTCGCTTTCCCCTACAAAAAGGCCAGAATGCTCACGTTTTGCCGCTACTGGGGGACGCGTGTGGCCATTTTGAGGCCTGCTCCTTAGCGCGAAGGCCCTCCCCCCGCGTCCCCTGTCCCCTCGTCCCCTGTCCCCCGTCCCCCGCCCGCGCGCCGCGCCGCGCCCGGCTCCTCCACCGACGCGCTCTAATCCCGCTCACGTTCTAGGCCTCGTTAGCATGGGCCGAGGCGCGCCGGGGCCGTGTGCGCCGCCGAGATAAGGCGCTGCCGCGGGTCCGCTCGCCCCCGATAAGCGCCTCGGCCATTATGGGCCAAATGATTCATTTTAATTTGGCAATTTCACCGGAGGGAGTGGGGAGTGGTTGCGCGGCGCTGGGACCGGCTCCGGAACGCGCCGCCGCGGAGAGCGTTGGGCGCGCTTTCTAGGACCTGGCGGGTCCGGCACCATTTCTGATCCCGAGGCCTCCCGGGACCGGGGCTCCCCACCACCTCAGCCCCTCGGCCATGCAGACACCTTTCTTCAGCGACTCTCATCCCAGCCCTCCGAAGACTGCGACCCCAAAAACCGCAGCTCGCAACCCTTCCTCGGCATTCATTCTCTCTCCGATGTCCTAGACACCCCGATTTCAATGGGCAGTTCCTCTGATGCCAGAAGGCTCCCCAGCTCCTCCCTGGCCCGCCACCCTCCTCAGCCCTGGCTCTTTTCTGCTCTAAAATGGAGCCTTCTTGCCTCGAAAGTCATGGACTAAGTTCACACCCAGGGGCTCTATGGAGGCAGATCTGGTGTCAACGGAGAGATTAAAAGGTCCATTCTGCTGAGTTTCAGGCTGAGCCTGGAGCCCAGGAACATCCCTCCCCCCATAACAATTTAAACATGTTAATCTTGTTACTGAACCCCTGTTCTCAGCATTATACATAATTCTAAGCATAATACAAACATTAACTCATTTAGTTCTCATAAACAATCCTAGGAGGTCGGTGCTATTATTATCCTCAGTTTATAGATGAGGAAACTGAGGCACAGAGAGTAAAAGTAACCTTCCCAGTGTTACATGTCTAGGCAGTGGTGGAGCCTGGGTCTGAAGCCAGTTTGGCAGCAGAGGGCTTCTGGAGCCCAGCTGATGAAGAAGGGCAGCTGGAGCCTAGGCGTGGAGGAGTGCGCTGTGCTCAGCTTACACAGGGATGCAGATCTGTGCTCTGGGGTGGATCTCTGGGTTCAGTGAGTGGTGGGCCAGTGGGGCTCAGCCCTTGGAGCGTGTCCAGGTTCACACTTTTTTGTGGTGGAGTGGGAACAGCACAGGCTCAAATCTTACAAATCGCTTAGCTCTGAACCTCAGCTTCCTCGTCTGTAAAATGGGGAGATAATACATACCTCACAGAGTTGTTGTGAGGATTAAATAGAATGATCTTTAAAAGGTGGTGGTGAGGACGACAATCTATGGAACCTCACCCAGCCCAGAGCCCAGGACGACATCGTCTGCACTTGCATGGGAGTTCTGGTTATGGTTATAGAGAAGGAAAGTAAGGCAGAGATGTGACCTGACCAAAGCTTACAGTGACCCAGAGGAAAAGCCAAGACCCAAACTCAAGCATCCAGCTCCCAGGCCACAACTCTACCCACCACGCAGGACTGCCTTGTCCTTCCAGCATCTTTGGTGTGAGCTCCTTTTGGAGCCTGAGAACTAAGGAAAAGCCCCTCGTCTGATCACAGACTGAGCAGTCAAGGAATGAGCCCAGAATGTGGCGGAAGTCTGAGTTCTGGCCCCTCCCTGGCCACATGTATCTGCAAAGAGACAGTTAATTCAGTGCAGCCTGTCCCCTCTGTTCCTCTTGTGCTCTCTGGTGGAAGTCGAGGCACCGTGTGGATACACGTAACTTTTACAGAATCCCACAGGAGAAGGGCCACCCATGTCCTTGGAAAAAGAGTCTACTTCCTGGACTTGCCAGGAGGCCTCCCCCGGCCCAGCCACACAACCGCTCAGCAGGGACCCTGAGGACAGCCTCTGTGGTCTGTTCAGCCCCATCTCTCCCTCTCTCCCCATGGCTGCAGCCCTGCCTCACTCACCGTTATCAAAGCAAACTCGCCCGCTGTTGTGCCTTAGCTTCTGGGGGCCCTTCCGCCTACTGCCCTCCTCCCCTCACATCTGTCCTTCAAGACTCAACCTTCCTGCCACTTCCTCCCGAAGCCTCCCTGCAGCAGGGTGGGCTTCCCTCTCTGCTTCCTCTGTCCCCATTGCCTTTTCTGGGCTGCGCATCTTAATAGAAAGGGTCCGGGGTCATATAATTCTGAGTCCAAAGCCCAGCTCTGCCCCCATTGGGCCATGGCACTGCTGGGCAAGTCGTTTCACATCTCCGAGCCCCTGCAGAAAGGGGCTGACCATTCCGGTATGAGGGAGCCCCGCCAGGCAGTGCTCCCCCGAGAAAATGATGCCTGGACCGAGACTTGATAGCGGGATGGGGGGCGGGGGGCGAGGGGTGAGCATCGACAGTCTTCCAGGTGGGCCAAGGGCGGAAGCAGAGGGGCTTTAGACTCTTGAAAGGAACAGAAAAGAAGGCTGGAGCAAGCCTGTGGACAATTTAAAGAATTGGGGGGGGGGGCATTTTGTTTATTTGGTTTGAGGATACAGCTTCAGATTTGCACTTCTGGAAAGCTGTTTGGCTGCAAGGTGGAGAAGGGGTTTGTGTGGGGTAGGAAGGTTGTTGGCAGACCAGTTCTGAGGCCAGTGCAGTGGTCCGGGAGAGGGGGATTGGGGCGCGGACTAGGGTGCCGGCAGAAGAGATGGCAAGAGGCGGATGAAGACGACATGTGTTAGGGTAGAAAACGGCCGTTTGTAAGAATTGGGTTTGGGGAGTGAGGGGGAAGGAGAAAGCCAGGAACCCTCTAGGGTTCCTGGCTTTCTTTTGCCTAGATGGCCGGTTATTCCTGGAGATGGGGGCCTGGAGGCCAAGGGGCATGGGGAGGGACTCTGAATTTGCTTTTGAACTCTTTGAGTTTAGGTGCGTTTGAAGGATTATTTTACAGGGCATTGAATGACCCTGCCAGGCACCCCAAGGGCTGCGGGGAAGGAACGCGGACAGGCGGCAGGGCTTTTGTCTGCCCCGCGGCGGGGAGTGTGCGCAGCATCTGTCCGCAGGCGGGCGGGGAGGTGAAGTTCACCATCTCCGTCTATTCGCGAAGCTCCAGATGCTGACGGAGTCTGGCAGCCGTCCCTGATCCGTCCCCCAACCCCCGCCGGGGGCTGGGGGGCTCGTGACGTCTACACCCTCCCCCTCTCCTGTTTCCGACGATCGGTGGAAAAACGGAAACTGCGCACTGAGCGGGGCGCCGCCTGAAATAGCATCTGGTGCCTGTCGGTCAGCGCGCTGTCCGAGCGTCCAGGAGTGAGTGACGCGGCCCGCTGCCCCGCCAGGAAATGCCACCCTCCTCCGCCCGCCCCGAGCCAGGGGGCCTCCGGCGGGCAGGAAACCCGGAGCGCCTGGGCTGGGGGGTCCAGGGGGAGGGGAGGTGGGACCCAGACTGGTCAGTCTGGAGTCTGGTCCTGGAGTGGAGCAGCCCGGAGAGACGAGCCTAGCCAGGCGCGGGGCAGTCTCCGACCTGTTTCCCATCCCCACCTCCACCCCCACCAAAGGCTGGGTTCTCCCTAGGCCCCAAATTCTAGGCTTTACATTAAAGTGTTTCTGCCTGTCTCTGGGTACTGGACGATCTCTGAGCTTTCTCCCCTGAGCTTCTCCTCTGGAGGGATGTGGTGTGTGTGCACTGGTGGGCAGCCAGGTTTATTTTCAGTACCTTTCTCTGGCAGTACTATGTGCCGGGTACTGTCCTAAGCACTTCCTAAATATTAATTCAGTTAACTCTTACAACAACCCAGTGAAGTGGGGTCTACCGTTATCTCCAATTTGTAGGCAGCCAACTGAGGCACAGGGAAGTTGCACAACTTGCAGAGAACACCCAGCTGGTAAGTAACGGAGCTGGAATTCAGGCCTAGGGCAGTCTGGCTTCAGGGCAGCAGAACAACGGCCAGGCAGTCCTGAGTTCCCATCCCTGCTGCCCCACTCGCTGGCCGTGTGTTTCTAGGAAAGTTACTTCATCTCTGAGTTTCACTTTCCTCATCTGTAGAAGGCAGATGATAATTGTCCATACATCATGGTGGTCTCAGGATTATTTTTAGCGGTAAAAACTCTGATTTGAGGAGATGTCATTGTTTCCCCCTTCCACTTCCATATGGCCATCGTCTCCATTTTTGTCCCCCTTCCTTGTCCTGGAAGCGCCCTCGCTCATCAGTAAGCAGGCCTGAGCCCAGAATTCCAAGCTTGAAACATGGCAAGAGTCGTTTCTGTGCTTCCAACCCGGGCCCCGCTGCCGTCCCACTCCTCAGGGATGGAGAGGACTTCGCTCTCATCCAGTGGTTCTCACGGTGACCCTCAGCGTCCCCTGGGAACATGTTACAAAAGCAAATTCTCAGCCCCCCGCCAACCCCGGGCCTGCTAAATCAGAAACTCGGAGTGAGACCCAGAAATCTGTTGTAACAGGACGTCCAGGTGATTTCTGAGGCGTACAAAAATCTGAGAGCCGCCGCTCTAGTTCACGACCCTCACCTGTAGCAAAGGCCAGGGTAAGAGAATTGAATGTTTTAAGAAAGCACCGTGCTTCCTAATGTTTTGAACCATTTCCCTTTCTCTTGCCCCGGCTGCTTTTACAGAAGACCACAGCGGCTCCAGACTCACGGACCGGGTAGTGCCTGAGCTCGTCTGTCCTCGCAAGCAGAGGACCCAGACAGCTCTGCCATCAGTGGTTTTGCTCCCAGAGCTGTCAGAAAAGCACAGCACACGTGTGCGGCAGCAGCCCTCTAGCTAGCACCTGGTTGCTGGTGGTCACTCAGGGCACTGGCCCTCGTGTATGTGTAAATACTTGTGAGCGGGCCCCTGGAATCCTGAAGGGACTGACTCTATGTACTGAGTGCTTGCTGTGCACGCCCGCACCGCTCCCTGCTTCTGCCTCC